TTGCAGGAAATTATTCCTATTTGCAAATGAATCTCATAATTATGTCTTTAAGTATAAGAATATCTGATACAGATTCAGCATGTAGACAGAAGAGCTGCTGTTTGGTTATACAAACTTCCAGCATTTAAACATATAAACTGTCCAGCTTTTGTCCATGAAGGCTCTTCCAAAGTAGTTTCCATGGTTACAGGTTGGATGTCTGTCCTGGGACGGCTTTGGCATCCAGGTAGCTGATGAGCTGCTTCACCCAGGGGGCCGAAGGTCTGACACACAGCTGTCGGCCTGCCACTGTGTTCAGCCTGAAGGTTCACAGAAAGAGGAGAGTCAGAGGATGGAGGGGCAGGTTTGGTGATGGTGGTGATGTGTGTTTGTGAGGTTGTGTACTTACAGGATGGCGGGCTTGGAGCAGCGCTGGCTGGTCTTGACGTAGCTGACCACTCTTCCTTTAGGCACTTCCTGGTCATTGAAGCGGAAGCAGCACTTTTTTGGGCCAGCACCGCGCATACCTGCAAACAAACAGGAACAAGTTAACAACTGAGCCACTGACACAGCACCACATCATCTGCTTCCTGGTTTTTGTTCCGATTCAGTTTCCTGCTGGCTGGTGTGAGGTCACATCTGATACTGTATGTTTAGTTGACGACACTGTGCAACTGCTCATTTGTTCCCCTGAGTTATGAAGTGGTCAGATTTGTCATGTGACCTGTCCTCTGTTTACTGTATCTATGAAGTAATATGTTAATATTAAGTTTAATGCTGCATTAACATTAATTATTTTCATATTGCACATTAGAATGGACTCTTTATCTTAGACAAACTACTGAATGCTACAGCTTCAATGGTTCATGACTTTAGCTTCAGAAATAGAATTTCTTTCTAGTAACTCCTATGAATGAAAAAGATTGAAGAAAAGTTTCATACATTGTTTATCAAAAATAAAATCAATAGCTTGCTATTAATGGTCTATTAGTTTGTAAATAAAACAGCCAAGAATTATTGTTGCTGTGTAATAAAATTAATGATTTGAGTGATTTGTTTTTGTTTTTCTCAATTAAAAATTAAAAAAAACATTTTTATTGTTACGTATAAACGCTGAATATCATATTAATATTAATTTCAAATTGTTATTCATCACACAGTGTAAAGGTCAGATCATTAAAACGAGCCTTACCCTCAGTCAGAGCGATGACAGCCAGCATGAGCACAACCACAGACAGAGCGAGACGAGGAGCGGCCATCCTGAAGTTTGTTTGTTGGCTTCGTGTTGCAGCAGTGGATTAAAGTCTCAGCTGAGCTCTGTCGGCTTGTTCTCTGTGCTGTGTCACTGCTGTCCACCTGCTTCACATTTATACAGTTGGAAGAAGAAGCGGGGAGACCCTGTTGTGCATCTTGGAAAGTTTGTGACGAGTCGAGTTTCACTAAAATGAGGAACTGTTTAATTTCTCTTTTTAGTACGCCTCTCTATCACGCTGACACTGCAGACCTTTCATTGTTGATGCAGTGTGAAACAGTTCAATGTTTATAAAAAGGACATATATCAGTATTCAGACATGTATTTGTTCAACCCCGTGGAGTTTCCCCTATATATGGATTAATATGGACTTACCTGCCTGTCGCGTTCTCTTTATGCTAAGAGCAGTCCCACCTTTCAGCCACTCTGCACATTTCGAGCTTTCTTAGGGTAAACTTTTATTCTGAGTCGATTCCCGTGTCTGAGTCCAGCTGTTGTGAAACTGTAACAGCCTGTGTGTATATATATATAACATTCTGTAACTGTAACTTCTGTCGGTGCTGTGCTTTTGGAAACCGAATTTCCCAGAGGAACCCACCAGGGATTAATGAAGTTCTATCTTATCTTATCTGCACCAACCTCCTTTCCACTCTTCATTCTCTTCACAGCTGCCGGCATTTCCTTCTTACTGATCCTCTTTACCTTCTGAATAACTAACGGTTATTCATCTTTCCACTTCGCTCTACCTCATTTTCTTCTTTTTTCAGCCTCAAAGTACTCCTTCCTTCTTCTCAGCACCCCTCTTCACCTATCAGTACATTTCCATCTCTTTCCTTCATCACCCTAATCTGCTGCACATCCTTTCCAGATTGGCCTCTCTGCCTAGCCAGTCGATAGTCCTTCTTTCCTTCTCTAGTTATAAAAAGGGAAATAAAAATCAGTTTTTATTAATGAGTCAGTTTGTATCTTTCATAAAACAGTACTGGAGCTTGTAATTTTTTTCCGGCCCCCCGCACAGTCAGACAAGGAGTGCGTATTCTCCATAAATTGCTGGCTGTCTGTCCAGAAAGCGACTTTGGCTTCACAGAAAATTGTGAAACTTTCTAGGGAACCTCTGCTATTATTAGGAGAGACGTCATCCATCTCACTGTAGATGGAGCAGCTCTTATTTTGAGAAAAATGAGTGCTTTTATTAAGCACCCAGAAACGTGACTATCCAGAGATGCAACCAGGAAGCAGAGCTGGAATCTTACACGCCTCTCTGCAGTGTCCCACCTCCTGTTATTCCCCCAACACCCCATCCACATATAGACTGTGTCTGCTCAGAATCCACCAAAAAATCCCAGCTAACTGTCAGTCCTCAACGCACAGGCAGAGGAGGAGGAGAGGCAGCAATCTTTCATTTTAGCCTATTAATCAACCAAAGACAGACAGACAGTTTTAATTCATTTGAAAGCCTGACTCTGACCTTTGTCCACCCTTCCTGAAAAACTCAAAAAAAACATTTTTTGTTGTAATAATCTACCATCCATCTAGCTCTTACTCAGAGTTACTCTCTGATTTCTCCGCATTTTACCCGAGTTAGCACTCAGTTATGATCAAATAAATAGTGCAGGTTATTTTAATATCTGTGTAGATGTTGAAAACGACAATTTCAAAACCTCATTTAACTTTTTATTAGACTCAATTGGCTTTTCTTAAACTGGAAATGATCCCACACTCTGGATCATGTCCTCACATATGGCATAGAAACTGCACATTTAACAGTGTTTCCTGAAATCATTTTTGATAACACATAATTTAAAAACAATGGACTACACAGCAGTGTACAATCAATTGCATTACACTAGATGTCTGTATATTAGAAACATCTTGTCTCAGAAAAACGAATATGTATATATTTGTGATATGCTGACCCCGGCTAGACATAATGACAGATTTGGTAATAGTTTATAATACGTCCCATGCCTAATGACGTAATTCTCCAAAAGTAATTCAAGGAAATCATTAGACTGTAAGTCATTTTAAATAGTGTGCATTTTCATTGTAATTTTGCAGAAAACAAACAATATTTCCCCATCCTTCAGTGTAAAACAGAAGCACAGCAATAATCATTTTGATGTGATACAACACCTTATAGCAGTGTTTCCGAACCTTTTGGAGCCACAGCAGATATTTCACATTAGAAAAATCACACAGCACACCACCAAACAAAAATGTCACAAAAAACATTTTGATCATCAGTATAACGTTTTTGCTTTCTTCTCACCACTACTCGTGCTAGGGTCTTCATCTGGGCCGGAATTTCTCCAGAACCCAGGTCAGACTGACTACATTTCAAATATTTATCTATTGCTATGAGGCATTGCGCGGTCTCTCTCGTAGCCTGACTATGCAATTTCTTCTTCGTCTTCTTCAGTTTTACAGGTAGAAGTTTTACTTTGCTACCAATTTAATTAGAGCACGTGGCTGTACTGCCCTCTAGTGGACGAGAATGTATTTTTTCTGCCCATTACACACGCTTAGAATTTTAAACTCAGTTTTAAACATGTTGCTGAGTTTGTTAAATGACACAAAGCAAAGCCAAGAACCTTGAAGTCATTTTTGACCAGGACATGTCCTTCAACGCACATATTAAACAAATATGTAGGACTGCTTTCTTCCATTTTTGAAACATCTCTAAAGTTAGAAATATCCTGTCTCAGAGTGATGCTGAAAAACTACTTCATGCATTTATTACTTCCAGGCTGGACGACTGTAATTCATTATTATCAGGATGTCCCTTTGCTCCTTGCAAAGAATATTGTTATTCAGGAAGTGATCGATATTGAAGTTTTTAATTCTGTACACTGTAAATTTACAGGAGTGCTGGCATCATGACCCAGCTCTAACTAAGCAGCAAAGCACGAGCATGACCAAGAGCTTTGAACTGATGCTAACTTAATATAGCAACCAATCTGCACATCACAGGATGTGATCTGTTTAGCTGGGCTCTCTGGTGTTCCTTTGGAAAACCAGCAGTTTCCTTACCGTTTATTTAAGTGGCACAAATTGTTACTTTATGAGAAAAAAAAAAACTGCAAAGACAAACTTTCATTTATTCTTTAATTTTAATTTAGGACTCAACTTAGTAGTAGCATGCAAAAAACAAAGTGTTTACAAACACTAACCAAACTGGAAACAGGGATACTGGAGATGTATACATCCTCTGTAAGAAGACTCACAATGACAAAGTTTCACTGATCCTTTATCCTTTATTTTAAAGTGAAGTTTTCAGCACAATCATAAAAACACAAATACTTAAGTTTTACATCAAAACCAAGCGAACTGTCCACAGTGCAGGAACAGTGCTGCAGCCCATAGCTTATACTCTGCTGTTTACTGATGACACCATGTGGAGGTGGGAGGCACTGCTCTTTCACAAAGAACAGCTTCTCAAGTCATTTCAGATTACACTCCAAAGTATCACAGTGCTTACGGTCAGACTTTCAGTGTTGTATTAAGCAAAAACACTCGTTATTCAGTATAATAAGATAAATATTCAAAGTCAGAAATGTAAAAATATTAAATATCAGTATTAAAAGAACGACAGAGTAAACAAACAAAGAAATGTTTGGATTGCAGGAAATTATTCCTATTTGCAAATGAATCTCATAATTATGTCTTTAAGTATAAGAATATCTGATACAGATTCAGCATGTAGACAGAAGAGCTGCTGTTTGGTTATACAAACTTCCAGCATTTAAACATATAAACTGTCCAGCTTTTGTCCATGAAGGCTCTTCCAAAGTAGTTTCCATGGTTACAGGTTGGATGTCTGTCCTGGGACGGCTTTGGCATCCAGGTAGCTGATGAGCTGCTTCACCCAGGGGGCCGAAGGTCTGACACACAGCTGTCGGCCTGCCACTGTGTTCAGCCTGAAGGTTCACAGAAAGAGGAGAGTCAGAGGATGGAGGGGCAGGTTTGGTGATGGTGGTGATGTGTGTTTGTGAGGTTGTGTACTTACAGGATGGCGGGCTTGGAGCAGCGCTGGCTGGTCTTGACGTAGCTGACCACTCTTCCTTTAGGCACTTCCTGGTCATTGAAGCGGAAGCAGCACTTTTTTGGGCCAGCACCGCGCATACCTGCAAACAAACAGGAACAAGTTAACAACTGAGCCACTGACACAGCACCACATCATCTGCTTCCTGGTTTTTGTTCCGATTCAGTTTCCTGCTGGCTGGTGTGAGGTCACATCTGATACTGTATGTTTAGTTGACGACACTGTGCAACTGCTCATTTGTTCCCCTGAGTTATGAAGTGGTCAGATTTGTCATGTGACCTGTCCTCTGTTTACTGTATCTATGAAGTAATATGTTAATAATAAGTTTAATGCTGCATTAACATTAATTATTTTACTTTCAGATTTGTTCAGCTCTGCTGTTTTCATTAGAAAATATCGTCTAGTCATTGCCGACATTTAGATATATAATCATCACTTTGAGTTATTATTTTCACATTGCACATTTGAATGTCCTGAGACTTGTGTGTGCTTTATTTTGTTTTTTGTTTGTTTTATATATACGTTGAATATGAATTAATATTAATTTCAAAAATTGTTATTCATCACACAGTGTAAAGGTCAGATCATTAAAACGAGCCTTACCCTCAGTCAGAGCGATGACAGCCAGCATGAGCACAACCACAGACAGAGCGAGACGAGGAGCGGCCATCCTGAAGTTTGTTTGTTGGCTTCGTGTTGCAGCAGTGGATTAAAGTCTCAGCTGAGCTCTGTCGGCTTGTTCTCTGTGCTGTGTCACTGCTGTCCACCTGCTTCACATTTATACAGTTGGAAGAAGAAGCGGGGAGACCCTGTTGTGCATCTTGGAAAGTTTGTGACGAGTCGAGTTTCACTAAAACAGGGAACTGTTCAGTTTCCCTTTTCACTACGCCTCTCTCAAATGGGACCAAAGTAGATCTCTCTGGTCTGTCCAACTTCCTATGTGCTTTCTATTCTGACACCACAGACCTTTCATTGTTGATGCAGTGTGAAACAGTTAAGTGTCTATATAGGACTTATCAGTATTCAGACATGTATTTGTTCAACCCCGTGGAGTTTCCCCTATATATGGATTAATATGGACTTACCTGCCTGTCGCGTTCTCTTTATGCTAAGAGCAGTCCCACCTTTCAGCCACTCTGCACATTTCGAGCTTTCTTAGGGTAAACTTTTATTCTGAGTCGATTCCCGTGTCTGAGTCCAGCTGTTGTGAAACTGTAACAGCAACATAAGTGATACTTGTTTTACAGTATTGGAGCGCTCTCATAGAGCAACTTTATATGAAGAAGAGCAGAAACAAATGTTCCTCAGATTTTAACCTTTTTCTCTCGATGTGGCTGAAACACAGTCTGGTGAACATCCAGACAATCAGTTAATAGAAGAAGATGAAATGGGTTGAAGATGGACTTCAGGAGATTTCAGGAGTGAAAAGTCCTGAAATCACCAAAGCATTTGCTCATAGCAGGTCATGTGACTGTGGGGGTTTCTATGTTTACCTTGTATTATTGTAGGGTCTTTATCTTATAAAATAAAGCGCTTCAAAGCAACTGTTGTTGTGATTTGGCGCTATATAAATAAAGTTGAATTTAACTGCTTTAAACCTGCATTTCTTCTAATGACCAACAGGTGGAGCCACTCCTGTGGTTTCAGAAAGAAGTCTGCTATAAACGTCACTGTAGCTGCTTTGTTGTGTGACCTCAGTAAAAAGTTTCCTGGTGGTTTGATGGTCTCAGCTGATATTTTCAAGTCCCCCGAAATATCACATAATGTTCATTTTGTACGTTGTGGTTCCCACTAGTGTAACAAGGATCATAAAGCCAGGTGTGTTTTAGGGTGGGCTTAGCTCGTGTGGTTGATAAATGCTGAAAACTGACAAAAGTCTCAGCTTCATGCTTCACACATGCAGAACTATCACTGGGTGATGTCTGGGTGGCTGTGCCCACCTGGTGTATTTGTTTAATATACAGTCTGTGGATAAACTAGTACTAAAAACTGTCTGTGCTGAATTTTTAACATGTACAGAAAAGCAGCAGGGACAATGTGCATCACCCTCACAATGTTGTGTAACAGGTGACATTTGTCATGCACATCTGCACGCAGGCTAACTCCATCCATCACCTCTCTCTCTCTTCTTTTCACCGTCACCACTGAAAACAAGAAGAGGCTCAGAGTTGATCCATGATGTAATCCCGCCCCCACCCTCAACCGTCCGTCCCACCACACACCTCACCACTCTCTCGCTTTCGTCATACATGTCCTGCTCCACCCTCACATACTTCTCTGCCACTGCAGACTTCCTCACACAGCACCACAGTTCATCTCTTGGCATTCAGTCATATGGTTTGTCTAGATTCACAAAGACACAGTGCAACTCCTTCTCTGTCCTTCTCATCTCCTGTACTACTGACTACTTTCTTCATGTCCCTACCTCATCACTTACTGGTGATTCTATTATTAGAAACCTTAAGTTAGAGACTTTGTGAGCTCAATCGATTGTATTCCACATGAGTATCCAGCGTTTGGACAGGAAGCAGAGATGCAGTTGTAGATGGCTCTGCAACTTCTCTCATTCTGTCATCCTCCAACAACCCATCCCCATAAAGTCTGTGTCTGCTCCCAGTCCACCTAATTATAGACCCAGTTTTAACCTTCCTCTTATTTCACAAAATCTGAAGAAATGTCCCAAAAGTTTTAAAAGGATGCTGGAAAAGAGATTTTTAACAGGATTATTCATGATGAAGACATGCAGCATTAACCATTTTGCTATTGTCGGCAGCGTAAAAGCTTTTTGTGGCTAAAACCACCTGCTTGAGTCGTCCAAGGACCTGCTTGGAACAGTTATCACCAATCCATCAAAATGAGATCTAATCAGATGATGTCTTAGAGCACAGCAAAATCATGTTAATAATTTGGTTCATTTCCTCCACATTACAAAGGTAAGTTAAAGGATAAATGTCCTACAGGCCTTTCTGGATGGCATAGGGACAGTGAATGAGTCCAGGCTAGGCTGGACCTCTGATGGTGTTCTTGGCTTTTAAGGCTCCACCTGAGATTGATTGCACACAGTTTGGCCACCAGCTGTTTTTATGATGTGCTGGAGAGCTCTCCTGTTCAGAGACATGCAACTAATGTACCATGCTGTGATGCAGTATGATGACAGATGCTGTGCTGGACCTCTGAAAACTGACCAGCACACAGACCTGTGGTGATTAGTAGAAACGTAGCTTTTCATTTTCAATTTCTTTTATTTATACAGCGCCAAATAACAACAACAGTCCCCTCAAGGTGCTTTATATTGTAAGGTAGACTCTACAATAATAGATACAGAGAAAAAATGATAACATCAGTGGGATCTCATGGAAGTCACTTTGGTCACAGCCTAAAGGAAAAATTTTTAAGCCTAATCTTAAAAGTAGAGATAGTGTCTGTCTCCCGAATCCAAACTGGAAGCTGGTTCCACAGAAGAGGGGCCTGAAAACTGAAGGCTCTGCCTCCCATTCTACTTTTAAATACTCTAGGAACAACAAGTAGGCCTGCAGAGCGAGAGCGAAGTGCTCTAATAGGGTGATATGGTACTACAAGGTCATTAAGATAAGATGGGGCCTGATTATTTAAGACCTTGTATGTGAGGAGCAGGATTTTGAATTCAATTCTGGATTTAACAGGAAGCCAATGAAGGGAAGCCAAAACAGGAGAAATCTGCTCTCTCTTTCTAGTCCCTGTCAGGACTCTTGCTGCAGCATTTTGGATTAAGCTGAAGGCTTTTCAGTGAGTTTTTT